TTATATATAGGCCACCAAATTTAGACAGAATGGAAGCAAAGCATCTATGGGATGAAATATCTAGGGCATCTAGATCTAACAGTATTTACGTCATGGGTGACTTTAATTTTAGTGGAATAAACTGGTTGAACAAAACAGGGAATAGTGAAGCAGAAGATTTTCTAGAATTAATTGACGATTGCTTTCTTACGCAACACATTAAGGAACCAACACGGGAAAATAATATTTTAGATTTAGTGTTAACTAACAGGGAAACACAAATTAATGACATCGAAATAGGGAGTGAGCTAGGGAACAGTGATCAGAAAGAAATCAGATTTAGCATAGAATGGAATAGACCTGTAGGAGAAAATTCTGTTAAAGTGCCAGATTTTCGAAAAGCTGATTTTAATAGCTTAAGAAACTCTTTGGGTCAAATTGATTGGAAAGTCTTGGGTATGGGGTGGGGGCCGGTCTTGGAGCGAGATATGAACCCAGCGATAGGTGACGTAAAAGGGGATTTCGATGTGAATTCAATATATAACTTATTTAAGAATATTCTAAACAAAGCACAGGAACGTAGTATACCATACAAACTGAATAGATCGAATACTAATGACCCAAAGTGGATAACAAAGAATTTGAAGAACCTTTTAGGTAAAAAGAGAGATTGGTACAAAAGGATTAAAAATGGGGAGGTCACTTTAGAACAGGAATTCGTACAAATGGTTAGAAATGTTAAAAAAGAGATAAGGAAAGCAAAAAGAAACTATGAAGTTCGCATAGCAGGGCAAGCAAAGACAAATCCTAAAGGGTTTTTTCAGTTATATCGTACTAAGACTAGGGAAAGGATAGGTCCATTAAAAACTGAGTTAGGTCAAATAACAGATAGTGATGAAGAGATGAGTAGTATTTTTAATAAATATTTTGTATCTGTATTTACTAAAGAGGAACTTAACAATATGCCTTCAGCCGAACAAGTCTATGTGGGTGGGGACGAGGACAGGTTGACGAGTTTAGCAGTTACCAGGGAGGATGTTCTTAAACAAATAGTAAAACTCAAACCAAACAAATCCCCAGGGCCGGATGAAGTGTTTGCCAGGGTGCTTAAAGAATGCAAAGAGGAGCTTTGTGACCCACTGTCAACCATATTTAATAAATAAATAGTCAGGCAGAGTGCCAGAGTTTTGGAAAGTTGCTAATGTGATACCAGTTTTTAATAAAGGAGATAGATCACTTGCATCTAACTATCGACCAATTAGCCTAACGTCTATTGTGGGAAAGTTACTCGAATCTATAATAGCAAATAAAATTCGTCTTCATCTTGAAAAACATAAATTAATAATTGAGTCGCAACATGGTTTTATAAATGGCCGTTCATGTTTAACAAATTTGTTATCTTTTTATTCTAGCATAGTTGAGGCAGTTGATAGTGGTAAGGATTGTGATGTTGTGTACCTTGACTTTAGCAAAGCTTTTGATACAGTACCACATGAAAGACTGATTAAAAAGATAGAGGCTCATGGTATTGGAGGTGTTATATTAAACTGGATTAGGGCATGGCTATACCAAAGGAAACAGAGAGTTAGTATAAATGGAGTCAAGTCAGAGTGGGAAAATGTTGTAAGTGGAGTACCTCAAGGCTCTGTCCTGGGACCTCTGTTGTTTATAATATATATAAATGATTTAGATTCAGGTTTGAGTAGCAACATTTGCAAATTTGCCGATGATACGAAAATCGGTAGGGAAATTAATTCGGAGGAGGACTCACTATCACTTCAAGTTGATCTAGATAGGGTTTTGAAATGGTCAAAGGATTGGCAGATGCAGTTTAATGCTGATAAATGTAAAGTTCTGAGGTTAGGTAATGATGATAGAGTTACAAGATACGAGCTAGATGGTGTTGAGATTGCGAAGTCGGATTGCGAAAGGGATCTGGGAGTTATGATTAGTAAGAATTTAAAACAAAAGGATCAATTCATAAATGTTCGTAATAAGGCAAATCGGACACTTGGATTTATTAATCGCAGCGTTAGTAACAAGACACCTGGTGTGGTTCTCAAGCTATATCTTGCTCTAGTTAGGCCCCATTTAGATTTTGCAGTTCAGTTTTGGTCGCCATATTATAGAATGGATATAAATTCACTTGAACGTGTCCAGCGTAGGATGACTAAGTTAATTCCACAAATTAGAAATCTTTCATATGAAGAAAGATTAACAAAGCTTAAGTTGCATTCACTGGAAAGGCGAAGAGTTAGGGGTGACATGATAGAGGTTTACAAGTGGGTGAATGGACATAACAGGGGGGACATTAATAGGGTATTAAAAGTATCAACACAAGACAGAACACGAAACAATGGGTATAAATTGGATAAGTTTAGATTTAGGAAAGACTTGGGTAAATACTGGTTCAGTAACAGGGTTGTTGATTTGTGGAACCAATTGCCGCGTAACATTGTGGAGGTGGGGTCCCTCGATTGTTTCAAGCATGGGTTGGACATGTATATGAGTGGGATTGGGTGGTTATAAATAGGAGCTGCCTCGTATGGGCCAATAGGCCTTCTGCAGTTGCCTTTGTTCTTATGTTAAATTTGCTAACTTTTTATTCCAGCATAGTTGAGGCAGTTGATAGTGGTAAGGATTGTGATGTTGTGTACCTTGACTTTAGCAAAGATTTTGATAGTGCCACATGAAAGACTAATTAAAAAAATAGAAGCTCATGGTATTGGGGGTGCTGTATTACGTTGGATTAGGGCATGGCTATTCCAAAGGAAACAGAGAGTTAGTATAAATGGGGTTAAGTCAGAGTGGGATAATGTTGTTAGTGGAGTACCTCAGGGCACTGTCCTGGGACCTCTGTTGTTTATAATATATATAAATGATTTAGATTCAGGTTTGAGTAGCAAAATCTGCAAATTTGCAGATGATACAAAAATCGGTAGGGAAATTAACACGAAAGAAGACTCGCTATCACTTCAAGTTGATCTAAATAGGGTTTTAAAATGGTCAAAAGATTGGCAGATGCAGTTTAATGCTGATAAATGAAAAGTTTTGAGGCTAGGTAATGATGATAGAGTTACAAGATACGAGCTAGATGGTGTTGAGATTGCGAAAGGGATCTGGGAGTTATGATTAGTAAGAATTTAAAACAAAAGGATCAATGCATGAATGTTCGTAATAAGGCGAATAGGACACTGGGATTTATTAATCGAAGCATTAGTAACAAGACACCTGGTGTGGTTCTTCAGCTATATCTTGCTCTGGGTAGGCCCCATTTAGATTATGCAGTCCAGTTTTGGTCGCCGTAATATAGAATGGATATAAATTCACTTGAACGTGCCCAGCGTAGGATGACTAAGTTAATTCCCCAAATTAGAAATCTTTCATATGAAGAAAGATTAACAAAGCTTAAGTTGCATTCACTGGAAAGGCGAAGAGTTAGGGGTGACATGATAGAGGTTTACAAGTGGATGAATGGATATAACAAAGGGGATATTAGTAGGGTATTAAAATTATCAACACAAGACAGAACACGAAACAATGGGTATAAATTGGATAAGTTTAGATTTAGGAAAGACTTGGGTAAATACTGGTTCAGTAACAGGGTTGTTGATTTGTGGAACCAATTGCCGCGTAACGTGGTGGAGATGGGGTCCCTCGATTGTTTCAAGCGCGGGTTGGACATGTATATGAGTGGGATTGGGTGGTTATAAATAGGAGCTGCCTCGTATGGGCCAATAGGCCTTCTGCAGTTGCCTTTGTTCTTATGTTCTTATGAATAATTTACATGATGTCATCATTCATACCGACTCTAAATCTTCGCTCCAGGCATTGTTATCCAGTCAGCACAGAGATAATATACAACTCCTCATGGAAATCCAACATATAGGAAAAGAATCCTGTAATCTAGGGCTGTCAATAAATAAATTGGATACCAAGTAACATTGGCATAGATGGTAATGAAAAAGCAGACTCACTAGCTAAAACTGCCACTGCTCTACCTGTTGTACAGGTTCAAATAACTCCAAGTTTTTTCACAGATTAAGGAGCATATCAAGAAGAAAATACTCTCAACTATCAAAAGTCGCCACAGAGCCAAAGTAGCGGAAGGAAGATCCACTGCGATATGGTACGAACAAGCCACTGGCTACTCTTCTTTCAAGCCTGGCAAAAATATATCCAGAGACATTGCAGTAGCCATACACAGACTCAGTCTTGGATACAAGCGCTGCTGGAAGGTAATGAACCCAATAGTTAAAGAGTGTCACATCTGTGGAACAAAAGCAGAGGCGCCACTATTGCACTACTTACTGGAATGTGAAGCTACTGAACCCCTGCGCATCAAACTCAACATTAATCCAACGGCAACTCCTGCATTAGATGCACATTCCACCGTGACTACAATGATTAGAGAAGCCGTTGAGGAATGGGACTCACTAGTAAGCATTCTGCATCTACATCCACCACCAAGATAATGTTATTAAAACAAGACTAAAACCAGTGCACTAAAACAGAAGCGAAAAATAACCCGGGAAAATGGAGGAATCCCCACCTCCTTTTAAAACTTTGAGCCAAATATCACAGTAACAAGGTTATCTCGAATAACCGAACTCGATTACGGGCTCATCATATTCCGTGCTACATGGACACCTCATTCTGAGTAGCTAAATCTAAACAACATCATCACCACCTCGGATCATCTTCGGCAACGTTGTGAAGCCAGAAACTCAGCTTTGCGCTGAGTTTCCACCCCCAGGAAGCAGCCCGTGACAGCTGACTAACACCCAGGTACCTATTTTACTGCTAGGTAACAGGGGCATAGGGTGAAAGAAACTCTGCCCATTGTTTCTCGCCGGCGCCTGGGATCGAACCCAGGACCACAGGATCACAAGTCCAGTGTGCTGTCCACTCGGCCAACCGGCTCCCATGCAAAGAGTGCTTTCAGATACACCCTGTACAGGACACAACAAACGAAATACCTGAAGAAGGAGAAATCTAATAAACTCAAACCATATACTCACATTAATATAGTTCTCGGCCAAGCGGTTAGCGGTGATGTGGCTCCAGTCGACGGTGTGAACGTAACACAGCTTCGGGTTTCTCTCTATCCGGACTGAGCCTGTGGGAGCGACACACAATGTTAGTTAGAGCACGGGTCGAACCCTAGGGCACGGGTGGAGCCCTAAGGCACGGGTGAAGCCCTAGCGAACGGGTGGAGCCCTAGGGCACAGGTGGAGCCCTAGGGCGCGGGTGGAGCCCTAGGATACGGGTGAAGCCCTAGCGAACGGGTGGAGCCCTAGGGCGCGGGTGGAGCCCTAGGGCGCGGGTGGATCCCTAGGGCGCGGGTGGAGCCCTAGGGCACGGGTGGAGCCCTAGAGCGCGGGTGGAGCCCTAGGGCACGGGTGGAGCCCTAGAGCACGGGTGGAGCCCCTAGGGCACGGGTAAAGCCCTAGGGCACGGGTGGAGCCCCTAAGTCACGGGTGAAGTCCTGGGACACACGTGGAAGGAATCTTCAGAGCAGAGGCATCGAGGCTATAGAGTAGAGCAGGGGTCCAACTGAGAAGGGTTGTCAAGGATAAAATCAAGACAAATACTTGTGAAAGTTGGAGACTTGTATACGAATTGGGTCCCTCATGCAGAGATAAAGAAGGGAGGCAGAGAGGGAGAAGTGGAACAGAGATGAGTCAATTTCAGTACAGATGAGTAATTCAGAACAGAGAAGAATAGATGAGTCAAGTTCAGTGAAGCATGTGGATTACATCTGAAATATTGTGAGGTGATCATGATGATACGCATATGTAGCAATACAGGTGCATGTAAATATACAGGTATATGTAGAGACACAGGTGCATGTTAATATAGAGGTACATGTAGAGACACAGGTGCATGTAGAGATACAGATGCATGTAGAGATACAGGTGCATGTATATATACAGGTGCATGTAAATATGCAGGTGCATGTAGAGATACAGATGCATGTAGAGATGCAGGTGCATGTAAATAAACAGGTGTATGTAGAGATACAGGTACATGTAAATATACAGGTGCATGCAAATATATAGATGCATGTATATATACAGGTGCATGTAGAGATACAGGTGCATGTAAATATACAGGTGCATGTATATATACAGTTGCGTGTAGAGATACAGGTGCATGCAAATATACAGGTGCATGTAAATATACAGGTGCATGTAGAGATACAGGTGCATGTAGAGATACAGGTGCATGTAGAGATACAGGTGCATGTAGAGATACAGGTGCATATAGAGATACAGGTGCATGTAAATATACAGGTGCATGTAAATATACATGTACCTGTAGAGATACAGGTGCATGTAAATATACAGGTGCATTTAGAGATACAGATACATGTAGAGATACAGATGCATGTAGAGATACAAGTGTATGTAAATAAACAGGTGTCTGTAGTGTGACGGTGTTCCCCCCTTATATTTTTCCCACGCCAGCTGTAAGAGTCATATCCACTTTACCCAAACGTTCTCTACTTTCCGGGGAACAATTTGACATATGTGGGAGCGTGAAGTGTTCTCGCGTTGGCGAGAAATTCGCAAGAGAAGAGTATTTTGGGCAGTGGCTTAGGCCCTTAGGACGCCAAGATTGCGCCGGACATTACGTTTTACCGCCAAGACGTTGTGACGTCAATAGCACCAGATTGGTCAAGGACAGTGACGTGGCACAGGGAGCCAATGAGAAACGTCCCTGGCAAGTATGATGTCACGAGTGCAGGGGGGTCCGGACGGCGCGGGCCGTGGCGCCCAGGAGTTTGACACGACACGTCGAGGAGGTCGAACGTGCGATCGGGGATCCTGTCAGTCTGACAGTTTCGCCCATCTCCGGTGGATTTACGCATCACCTGTCGTCTGAGAGCACCCTGTGAGGTCTTCCTGAACTCCGTGTAAGGAATTGACAAGAATCGAGCAACAAGTGCTCCAGTGACAGGTGCTTTGCAAGAAGTGAGGTCTGAGCAGTGACGTCCGGGACAACTGTGCAGTCTCACCAGTTAGGTGATGACGTAGTGGCTGGGCCAATCCACCGTGAGGCAGTGACAGTGGATGTACGCATCACCCATAGTCTGCTAGCACCCTGTGAGGTCTTCCTATGTTCCATGTGAAGGACCGAAGAAGGAATTGACAAGAAATGAGCAGCAAGTGCTCCAGTGGCAGGTGTGTTGCAAGAAGTGAAGTCTGAGCAGTGACGTCCGGGACGACTGTGCAGTTTCACCAGTTTAGGTGACGACGTTGCGGCTGGGCCAATCCACGGAGAGACAGGAGAAGAAGAAGTTAATTGGGAATCAGGACGACTGCAGCCGAGAGAAAGGACTGCAGACGTAGTTGTGAGGAGAAGTCGACGGCCAGGAGACCGACTCCAACCCTTCAAGAGGTTTTGGAGGAGGACGGGCCTGCAGAGGATAGAGCACTGTGAAGACGTGTTTTTGAGTGTTGACGAGGTTCCTGGAGAGAACATCAGTGTGTGTGTGGGGGCGTTCCCTACAACGAGTCGAGAGCCAGGACCAGGAGCTTCAATTCAACTCTCAACAGAGGGCGAGTCCACATCATTGAGGTGGAAGTAGGTAATTCAGTTTTCCCTCCCCATTCCTCTTTACTCAGCTATTTAGCCAGAGTATCTTCTATGTCGTGAGCAGGGCTCACCAATGTCTATGTCATAGTAAGGCACAGTTGTGCAGAGAGATGCTGTAGAGAGCTCTCACGAAATATATATGTGGTGTGTGAGTGCACCTGTGATTTATCGAAAAAATTGCTGTGTCGAGGACATTTACATTCATGTGACATTAATATTATAAGTTTGTGTCAGAGAATATATAGATATAAATGTACCATTTATTAGTATAAGGCTGTGTGCCCCGTATTGACTCATTATTACTTATATTGATGAAATGATCTATATACATGCTGAAGTATTGAATAGTATTTTCATGTGTACAATGATTTACTCTGTTTATCGCCATTGAAGAAATTTACTGTGTTTGGGGGCCATTATAGTGGTTTACTGTGTTTATCGCCAATTTAGCGAGCTACCGTGTTTATGGACAGTGTTGTGATCTACTGTGTTTAATACCAGTACAGTGAGTTATTGTGTTTATGGCCATTATAGCGGTCTACTGTGTTTATGGACAGTATAGTGAGTTACTGTGTTTACTACCATTGTAGTAATTTACTGTGTTGAGTGCCAGTATTGTGTTTACTGTGAATTTGAAGAAATAAGCGTATAATGCCAGGACAACAAGTACAGAGAGAGTATACAGTGAGGGGGCATGGCATCTGGGAATGTTCGGCGGAGGGGGAGTTTTGCCATAGTGTAGTGTTCCAGATTTATGAAGAGGAGTGATTTGCTGCCATGTACTTCTTTGCCTTGTTGTTGATCCAGTACTATAATACTTTAATATTTTAAGTAAAATACAAAACCACCTTCGTGTTTGTATTATCCCTCCATTACTTGTTGCTATTGAGATTATTGGGTCCATATAAAGAGAGAGTGATTGAGACATATCCCTGCCTGTTACCGGATTTAATTAGTGTGCTCTCTGCCACTACTACCACTGACGAGTTACTGGACACGGAGAACACCAGTTGGCGAACTTTCAGTTAGCAGTAGAGCCCTTTGTCGGGGCGGGCACACGATCAAGAGAGTAGATTGTGTACCCACTCGTCCTCAGGCTATAAGGCTGGCCGGAGGTAGACTGGGAGACTCTCCAGGTGAGCAGTGGCACCCTGAGGATTGAGTGTAGACCTGCAGCGCTACAGTAAGTAACAGTTACCACTACTAGTACTTGGTGGTGACTGGTAAGATTTAGAGTAATCCCCGACATTGGCGACCTTGCCAGGATATTAAGTACGGTTACTTACTCGAAACCCCGACAGTAGAGATACAGGTGCATGTAAATATACAAGTGCATGGAGAGATACAGGTGCATGTAGAGATACAGGTGCATGTAAATATACTGGTGCATGTAAATATACTGGTGCATGTAGAGATACAGGTGCATGCAAATATACAGGTGCATGTAAATATATAGGTGCATGTAGAGATACAAATGCATGTAGAGATACAGGTGCATGTAAATAAACAGGTGCATGTAGAGAAACAGGTGCATGTAAATATATAGGTGCATGTAGAGGTACAGGTGCATGTAGAGATACAGAAGCATGTAGAGATACAGATACATGTAGAGATACAGGAGCATGTAGAGATACAGATGCATGTAGAGATACAGGTGCATGTAAATAAACAGGTGCTTGTAGAGATACAGGTGCATGTAAATATACAGGTGCATGTAGAGATACAGATGCAAGTAGAGATACAGGTGCATGCAAATATAAAGGTGCATATAGAGATACAGATGCACGTAGAGATACAGGTGCATGTAAATATACAGGTGCATGTAGAGATACAGATGCACGTAGAGATACAGGTGCATGTAGAGATACAGGTGCATGTAGAGATACAGGTGCATGTAGAGATACAGGTGCATGTAGAGATAGAGGTGCACGTAGAGATACAGATACATGTAGAGATATAGGTGCATATAGAGATATAGGTGCATGCAGAGATACAGATGCATGTAAAGATACAGATGCATGTAAATATACAGGTGCATGCAAATATTCAGGTGCATGTAAATATACAGATGCATGTAGAGATACAGGTTCATGTATAAATACAGGTGCATGTAAATATACAGGTGCATGTAAATATACATATGCATATAAATATACATGCACCTGTAGAGATACAGGTGCATGTAAATATACAGGCTCATGTAAATATACAGATGCATATTGTGACGATAATCTCCTTCAAGAGATTGAGCCTGCTCTTCCTCCAAATTACGTCGGTAAACATCTATATAAAACTAGTATGGAAGAAATGTCCAACAACGACAACAACATCTCCAAGGTTTGCCAGAGCGCAAACGTATGCAGCCAGGGACACCTGCTCAGCCTCAAACCGCCAAACTACCTGTCTTGTTGCCGACTCCTCGCTGATTGGCCGCCGGTCTGGCTGCAACTGCACTCACCCACCATACTACTTGATGTCTGGGGCCGCCTCGACCTCAGTCTTCAGAATATTCAGTGC